GTCTAAACAAACACGTGATTGTTTTACGCTCAGAGTATCATAGCAAGACGCACGTGTAAATACTACTCAGGTCGTCTCTCCACTGCGAAATCATTCTACCATGAAATGTAACGTGAGGATCAGAAAGGGATAAATAATGAAAGAACAGAAAGTATTTGTCACTTTTCGGTTGAAACGACTCGATCATAAATACTATTTTTCACATTTTGCTTCACAATACTCGATAGAAATGTGATGTAAGTAACTTATTAGCACCTTTCCTCAGTGTATCGGTGAATATCAGGACAGTTTTGATCGGGAGCCGCCTCGGCTGGGCCCCTCGACCAAAACTGTCCTGATATTCACCGATACCCCTCGGAAAGTGTGCTAATAACTACTACATACATAACGGCTGTTAAGTATTGAGGTGAATAATTTTCAAATGGTTGACAGTAACGTTATTGGCCAATAGTTCTCTGGTTCCGATTTCTTCCCTTTTGTTGAAGATCGGGACAATATTTTCCCTAAGCCATACATCTGGCAGCATAGCAGTATCAAATATCAAATTCAATAAATCTTCACCTGCTGATTTGTTATTTTTAAAATTTTTAATACTTTTATATATTTCACTTCGGCTAATTGGTTTATTTAGAATATCGTTATCAGTATTATTCACAGAAAAATTTACTTTTTTGTTCGTTTTTTTTTATTCTTTTTGTTTACTTGTGTTTATATTTTCGAAATACTGGAACAATATATCAAGACGTATATCAGTGTTGATCTCCCTATTTCCTCTGTTTATTATTTTCCAAAATTGCTTAGGATCATTGGATCGAAGTGTTCTCATTTCATCTTCATTTTTTACATTGTAAATATTTATACTATTTTTAATTGCTCTTTTATAGACAAACTCATTTTGTTTCAATTTTCATTTAAATAACTCTGTACCATACAATTTATATAATCTTAAAGCTCTCACTAACATATGGTTTAATTTTATTTACATAATTCGCTTGCGCGTAGGGGTCTTTAGCAGTGGGAGGAAACCGGAGGACCCGGAGAAAACCCACGAGTTTGGACAGGTGACCCTACTCCTTGCCACGTACAACCGGGGATTCGAAACCAAGGCATTCACAGAGACTGATACACGACGGTTTAGCAGTAAAAAGTTGCCCAGTAAAATTGACTGGGGGCCGATTCCTTTTCGACAAGGATTCAATAGGACGTTCCCTGAACGTACAGGGCGATACTCCAAATCGTGTATTACGTCAGCAATTCTTTTTTTTAAATATTCTGTCAACTCCTTGTATACACAGGTTATGGATATAACTGCGTATATCAATTTTTCTCATTATTTTCTTTCATTCTTTATTTAGGTCTGCAACCTGATATTAAACATGTGTTTGAGGAAGCGGATATTAAGTTATATTTATAGCACGGCTTTCGTGAGTTAACAGGTTTAAACATCGATGACGTAGGCCGATTTGTTAAACTTGTTAACGAATGAAGCATGCTATAAATGACTTGTAACATTGACACCTGCTCAACAAGCTTGTTGTTATTGCACAGAAAACCCACCCCACTTCTCTATATAATTTTGTACTAAAATTAGTGTAAACCAGCAAAAGAGTGCAATAACATTAAACATGTCTAGTTATTGCACTGGTAAGATCCATCCAATCTATTAGAGGGAAACAATCTACTTATTCAACGAAAAGAACAAAGGAAGATTTCGCGTCAATGTTACAAATAAAGCAATTTCAAACTCACACACCATCACTCGCATACACATAGTGTTATACTCGTAATGTTGTTATTTGAAACAGAGTATAGATATTGCACCACTACAGAGGCTACAGCATTTATGTTTATATATGCTGACACTGATTGGGGTAGGCTAGTCACGTGGGTACTTCGTTTATTATAGAATTTAATACGACCTTGTGGCTATATATGAAGAGGACTGGGTTCTGATCCCCAGAGAACCCACTGACGCAATCCTAACCCTGATTTTTTTTTCTGTATTTTTTTTAATGTAAATTACATACAGTTAATTATGAAATAAAATTTACATCTCGTCCAGTTTCTTAAAACATATTTTGTTTGATAAGAGATAGTCTATCTAAACATTATCATCAAGAACTCATTTCTTTCGAGCAAAATTTTAATTTTGACAGCTTCCAAGATCTTTTATTTCAAATGTAGTAATAAAAATACCTATTCTGTCATTCCTGTGTATGACTTGTTTTTGTGTAAGCCGTGAAAAGGGATTGCATATAGCTAATTATAAACCATGTCCAATAATAATGGGTAAGACGCTGGCTCGCTAGCCTGGAGGTCGGGTGTTCGATCCCTGCATTAGCCGAGAAAAAAAACTTACTCGAATTTTCCAAGGAAGATAACCATTCCTGTTTAAATTGGTCTTGGATGCGGGTTTAAATTCGTTTGGTTTATGGAAGACGGACTTTGGCAAATTTCAGGAAATCCAAGATTATTCAATAAGCGTCTAACACCCATCCATTTACTCTTTTTCTTTCTAATTATCGACACACACAGTATACTGTAAATATTAGAAAATAATGCATTTGGAGAATGGATAAATTTTAACCAATATTTAAACATACATTAAGCAAGAGCTAAATCTGATTATTGCAATGCAAGTCTTAATTTAGGCTTCAGATGTTATAGAAATTATAAATTAGATCTTTATTTAAACAACAAGCCCAAAATCAACTCTGTAGACCCACGGATGGCTCGGCTACAGCTCGGATTTAAATAGGATTTCACTAATTGATTAAATCAAATATGGGGCAACCTGATAAAATACGTCAGTTAGATCGAGGCTAAATGATAGAGTGTACTTAGCGAGGCCGCTGTAGAGCGTTTCCGTATGCCATTGAAAACTTTACTTGATAATCGAGATATGTAGGTGGAGTTAACGCCTGTCAATCAAACGATCAGCCAAGGTGAAGACGCATGATAACTATGTTCAGAATAAAGTAATTTGACTGAAATTTTCAATATATTCTTCTTTCATCATCTACTTTTAAACTGTTATAGCAAGAATGGCCAACTCTCTATAAAAATCTCCCATAATGTATCTTTAAGTATTCTTATTTTGCTAACAACTATCAGGGGAAATAACCCTACTTTTCCGAGCATTCCATAATTGGAGTGTTTCTGCCCAGCCTTAATTCATATCTTAAACTAGCTTTTAAAACCAATTCAAAACCTCAGATCTCCCAATCATAAGTTAGAGTAGGGGGAAGCCAATGTATGGAAAAGTTTACATTTGACTGATGTATTAAAGGACAATATTGGTGCCAGTCATTATCACATATGTGATAGAGCTGGTTGAACACATTCCAAATATAATTTTAACACAGAGATCATTGCTAGGATAGCTGAGTAATACAGTTTTCCAGAATCAGAAGTGACGAACGCCAAAGGAAAACACGAGTCATCTCTCTATATAACTGACTGATGTGACGAGTGATAACGGATATACGGGCTCACTAATAATTCATTCGAAGGTCAAAAGTTGTTGTATGAGATTGTGAGACGATATCTGACAATTCATAAAAAGAATTGACAGCCACTAGATAATTGAACACGAAAGAAAAACAGAAAAAGTCCGTGCATTACCATGTTTTCATAAAATATAGAATGAATATAAACAAGGGACTGTACGGACTATTTCTATTTTTCTCGTGTTCTTTTATCCAATGGCATTCAATTACTTTATTGAATTGTCAGGTATCCTCTTACAGTCCTATATATATCAACTTTTGGTCTTCGAAGGAAATATTAGTGAGCAGAAATGATATTTAATAAGGTACCCAGAGATTTCCTGTCTGGTGTTGCTATTCTTGTTACTGATTTTGAGAATTTACAATTATCATACAATAAGATACACAAGCAAACATATTTCTTAACAACATCGAATGGATCGCCGTTTAAAGTTTTAAAGTTGTTATTAAGCTACATTTACCTCTATGAAAAGTTACTATTTTGGATTTTTCGGTGTTTATCTCCAGTTTTCATTTTGAACAGAATTCCCCAAATTGTTGGTGGTTTTTAGAGCATGCACTTTTTCTAGCCTGCATATCTCATTTCATGGGGTAAGTGGAATATTGTATAGGTGCGCCTGCGTCTCCGTCTAAACTACACATCCGCCCTTACACCATTATCCCACATAGTCCGAAATTGGATAATAAGGCCATACGATGAATTCCCAATCCTTTCTCTCTCTCCCAAACTGCCTCCTTATCCCTTAGCACCAAACGACTTAAAGATTCTTTTCTTACTGACATGATATTATAGTTTATTGAATTAAGTAATACTGTGACGACCCAATAGTAAATGTTTAATATATCGTGCTAATCCGCACAGTATTACTTAATTCAGAAAAATATAATATCCCTAACCTGCATGACCTCACCAACCGATTGAATTCACCAACCGACGTGACCTTACCAACCGATCGGATCTCACCAACCGGTCTGATCTCCCTTGAACTCCATCCCTACCAACCTGATCTCACCAACCCGCCTGATCTCACTAGAACTTGAACCCCCTCCCTACCAACCTGATCTCACCAACCGGTCTGATCTCCCTTGATCCCCTTCCCTACCAACCTGATCTCACCAACCGGCCTGATCTCACTTGAACCCCTTCTCTACCGACCTGATCTCACCAACCGGCCAGATCTCCCTTGAACCCCTTCCCTATCAATCTGATCTCACGAACCGACCTGATCTCACTTGAACCCCCTCCCTACCAACCTGATCTCACCAACCGGTCTGATCTCCCTTGAAGTCCTTCCCTACCGACCCGATCTCCCCAACCGGCCTCATCTCATCAACCGGCCTAATCTTACCAACTGGAAACTCCTTCCCTACCGGCCTGACCTGCACTCCCTCCCTACCAGCCTGATCTCCCTGACCAGCCTTATACGATATGGAATATATTACTCGTATTGACTTTATTACTCATCCACAAAAAAGGCTTTTACAAATGAACATGTTATCAGAGGTTTATTTCGAAGATAAAAAGATTTGTTTTACATATTGATATCACTAATAATAAGTGTTACATCATCTACTGGCCGTACTTGTCAAAAGGGGCTTTTACAAATGATAGTAGAAGTTTCTTTTTGAGAAATAAAGATTTGTTTTACATGTTTTCGGATCTCACTAACAATTAGTGTTACATATTTAATAAGAGAATAACAGATGGAAGAATTTATGGACAACAGAATCGGACCTTGTAATTTTCGCAGTATTTATCTTTCTGCAGCTTATTCTGGCACCAAAAACCTCTGGATGGATACACACTTACAACCTCATTAGCCGTTCTAAAATCCTTTCCGGTTTTAACCAATCTGACATCAATGGCCGAAGGGTTTGCACAGAGGGATGGGTGGGCTTTACGTAGTTCATTCAAAGTTTCCCAATCACCACTTGCAGATGGAGAATCTCTGTTGTAAAACTGGGTCCATTTTTTACATGTTGGTGTCTCTGAAAAGTAGATTAATTGAGATATTTATTTGATCTGATAAACAGAAACAAAGTGAGTGATATTCAACATTTTGTCAACGCTTTTCTTTAATCATTGGGTCTATATTATGTCCACAGGTGTTCCACAATGGGAGGATGGGCGTGACGACAGGGATATTGAAAAATCGAGTCATTAAAAATCTGTGGACTGGGACTTCACGTCTCTTAAGCACTAAAGTGTGACTCTGGAGAGAAGAAATTTCGCCTGAGTGCGCCATTTTCGCAATTTATTTTTCGAATTCCAACAACTATCAAGTGTTTAATTACAAGGATGCCTATTCAAAACCAAGACATTCTGTGTTATTATGCACTCCACTCGATTTTTACAGTTTCAGATTACGATAGGGGGGATGGATGACCGAATGGTTAGCACGTGGGCGCTATATCACAAGGCCTGTCAATGAGTCAACTTGCGTGGTTTCGAATCCCCGGTTGTACGTGGCAAGGAGTAGGGTCGCCTGTCCAACGACGTGGGTTTTCTACGCGTCCTCCTGTTTCCTCTCACTGCTAAAAACCCCTACGCGCAAGCGAATTATTGAAATAAAATTAAACCATATGTTAGTCCCGAAATGACCTAGTTTGTGTCGAGTAGACGTTACTTTGGCTTCAAACGTTTATGTTCACCTTAACCCTGTCCATGCCTGGCCCCTGAATTGGTATTACCTTTAGAAGCATATCAGGAGCAAAGTGGGCAAGTTAGGGGTCTTATTTTGTCCCATCTATAGAAATCAAACCAGACTAATGAACACGGGCATAAGCCATAAATTGGTCTATGAAGTAAAATACGACAAAGTTCCCACAACCCACTCTAACTAATGCCGAATGTCAGTGGAATAAATACAACCTCAATATTTTCTCCTTGTTAATGCTGGGTTCCCACTACCGCGATTCACGCTAGATTGAAATCGTGGTTTTAGTCAGGGATTAATCGTGGCTATCCTATCGGGTCTTATCATATATTAACGGCAGTCGCGTTGATCGTTCCGAACGTATCTGCCCGAACCGAATCGTGGACTCAATAGGGACAATCCTATCGTTACTCATCGCATGAAAGTGGGAACCTAGCGTAACGGGAAATCAGGATTTTTCTTGACCAGAACAAGAACCTTTCACATGGAACCTCACTGAGCAATCTCACCGGGTTTTAAATAATTCAACTGAAAACTCAGCTATGCACATGTTTTTTTTTTTTTAATTTACTAGCTTTAAAAGTAATAATGTGAACAGGAAATATTAGAGTCATGTGAATAAAATAGCTTTAACAGTTATTAACGTATACAGGAATAGGCCGAAGTCTAGCTGCAATATATGTAGCCGTGATAATTCTTATAAAATAAACAATAGTTTGCATAGCAGTTGGGTTTAATCAAATCATGTAATTATACGGTAAGGTTTCACCTTTATTTCATTGGGAATTGGTTTATTATATGTTAAGCTATGTGCAGTACAGTTCGGGGTCAGTTTATGTGTAAATTAAGAGGGGTATAGGCCAGTAACTGTTTTGTAGTCAAATGTAGGTAGGCCTTGGGATATCTGACAATTCATAAAAACATTGACTGTCACTAGATAAGAGAACACGAAAGAAAAATAGAAAAAGTCCGTTCATTACCATGTTTTTATAAGTATAGAATGAATAAAAACACGTGAATGTGCGGACTGTTTCTATTTTTCTCGTGTTCTAATGACATTCAATTATTTTATTTGAATTGTCAGATATCCTTTCACAGTCTCATATAACAACTTTTGGTCTTCGAAGGAATTATTAGTGAGCAGAAATTCGCCCATGTATCTGTTATCACTCTTCACTTCAGTCAGTTATATAGAGGGATAACTCGTGTTTTCTTTTTGCGTTCGTCACTTCCGATTGTTCAAGCATTGGTTACGCATCTATCGTAGCAATGATCTCTGTGATAAAATAATATTTGGAATGTGTTTAACCAGTTCTATCACATATGTGTAAGCAGGAATACCCCGGAGTCATATAAGTGAACACGCTTTAAAATACAGATGTGACGTCATTCTTTGATGTTGGCGTACCATTATTTCAAATAATGGTACGGGCAATGTGCCAAGGGTAAATTATTTATACTAGTTGCAATATTGGACCCGCGTGACTTATTTCATTGAAATGCACGTGCTGGATAGTGTCTGCATTTTAAGTTGTTTAATGGTCTCGTGCAAGCCATTGCGTAATATATAGATATATTACTTAACGTCTCGCACTCGACTATTAAACTACACTTAACAGTAACAATATAAAGATGAAAATATCTCAGTCATTTAAATTTACAAGTTTTAACACAGTAATATATCTTCACGATTCGCGCTCTTAATTTGCAATTTAAAAATGCCCCCCCCCCCCGCACACACACACGCGCACCCACCGTTACCCTTTACATAAAAGGAAGTCGGGCGCCAAAACAACACACACACACGCACCCACCCTCGCCCTTTACAGAAAAGGAAGTCGGGCGCCAAAACAACAGTTACTTACGTTGCATACAACAGAATCGAACTTTGTAATCTAAACAGTGGCCGTCAGGTTGCTGATTATTGTAGCATGCGAAACCAAAAGTGGGACCAATCTTTACAACTTCTCTAGCTTCTCTATAACCAATTCCGTTCAGTGTTTGGACATCAAGGTCTGATGGTACTGCACAGATGTGATCTTTGGGGTTTTCCTTTCGAATGTCAGCAAGAGCTTCATAGTCTGCTGTCCAAGATGGTTGATCTCGACTATAGAATTTCGTCCATTGGTTACAATCAAAGCCTTCAGCTGAAACAACAACAAAATAATCGTCAGAGAAGGAAGATATACCGGATTAATAAAGAATGATACAGCGAACCATAACCTGATGAGTTAAAATTGCAACTTTATCAAAAAGTTATTTATAAACTACTGTTGAAATACAACAAACACAATTTTATGAGAGAGAGAGAGAGAGAGAGAGAGAGAGAGAGAGAGTAACGTCCACTCGACACAAATTAGGTCATTTCGGGACTAACACATGGTTCAATTTTCTATTTCAATAATTCGCTTGCGCGTAGGGGTCGTTAGCAGTCACGTACAACCGGGGAATGGAAACACCGCCAGTTGATTCAATAACCTTATGATACAGCGCGCACGTGCTAATCATTCGCCCCCCCCCCCACACATACACAACTTTATGCATAACAATCAGTAGTAGTGCAACGGTTCAACAACTAAAAAGTAAGGAATATTAGTTGAAACATGACTCAATGTCCTTTGGTATTTACAAAGGCCCCTTATGCAAACGAAGTGATGACGCCATTCACGTGAAGTGTGAATGGCACTACACTGTGACGTGTTCGAAGTGATAAATTTAATATCTGAAGTGTTCATCTCTACCACTATTAAATTTATAGAGACAAAGATATTGAAGTGAGGATGAAGTGAGGATGAAGTCATGTCAAATATGCAAATTACGCTTCCGCGAAGTGTTCACTTCAACCTAAGGACAGAGGGTGTTGCTAAGGACAGAGGGTGTTGCTAAGGCTGTAGTTTGAAATAAAATAGGGTGTAACGTCATAATTTTCTGCACCAACTGGGCAAATGAAGACGGGAAATATCGAATCCCACCTGTCAAGGTTCGCTTACACCAATGTGTTTATGGGACCGAAGGACTAAACAGATCGGGCCCCGTTCTTGACCACTGGGAGAAAACGTATTAATCACTGAGCCTCCGTGGCCCCTTCCGAAGATGAATTTTTCGTATGAAATGCCCCCCCCCCCCACAACAAAAAAATCGGGATCTCATCAACCGGTCAGTATATTAACAACACCGTATGAAACTGCCGGACAGGAAAAATCATAAAAGCACGAAATGAAATGAAATAGGGTTTAACGCCCTAATGTTCTGCTCCGACTGGGCTAATGAAGACGGGCATACACCATACAGTGTGCTATGAGGCACTATTGCCTACTCTTATATCGAATTCTAACTGCCAGGGGATATTTTACGTGCACGCCAATGTATACACGAGACCTCGGTTTTCCGTCCCACCCGATTGACTAAACAGCTGTCCTTGTCAGCCCCCCCCCCCATCCTGCACCACTGAAAATGCACAATCAATACATACCAATGATTTTAAATATGTAACGAAATACATACCTGCATGGTTGTAAACCACAACAGCAAGAACTAAAACTGCAAAAGCTTTCATTTTTAGTATTCTTTGATCAGTAACGATTTCGAGAATGCCAGTAGAGAATTCTTAACCAACTTTTATAGTCAGTCCAAAATGCAATAACGTAGTCACTCATTGCGAAAAACGCCCCTGTAGGCGTTATTGTCGTGATGATATCATGTCACGTGACTCTGGCGTCCAAAGAAAATAGTGTGTGCATTGAAAAAAATTGATGAAGTAGGTTATGTAAATACAATATACAATATTGAACCAGATGTTAGTCCCGAAATGACCTAGTTGGTGTCGAGTGGACGTTAAACCACATCTCTCTCTCTCTCTCTCTCTAACACTCATAACTTCGCTGAGAATAAAGTTATTTGTTTGAAATTTTCAATATATTCCCATTTCATTACCCATTTCTAAACTATTCTTGTGAGAACTCTCTTTGCAGCTTTAACATACATTTCGTTAAGGTGTCTGACTGAACGTTCGAGACTGAATCTGAATTATTTATTATACGTTAGCAGGATACCCGGCCCAAATTCGCTAGGGACCAAAATTTGATCGAGGCACAAATTCCCAGGGGTCCAACTGTTAGCACGTGCCTGTATCATAACGTCTGTCATTGAGTAAACTGGCGAGGTTTCGACTCCCCGGTTGTACGTGACAAGGAGTAGTGTCACCTGTCCCACCTCGTGGGTTTTCTCCAGGTTCTCCGGTTTCCTCCCACTGCTAAAGAAGCGAATTAAACTATGTCTCTGTGGAAGCGGATCGTCTCACAACTGATAGGGTTGTTGTATACATAATTTGTCTATTGTGATTTATTCCCCAAATCGTGATGTCGATTGCTTCAAACGGGCTGACTGCCCTCAGCTAAATGAAGATAAAAATCCAGTTAGACATTTAACCGTTTTTATCTATTACAGTTAGTAACTGAGTTCTCAACGCCATGAGGGTGGGGGGAGGGGACCGAATGGTTAGCACATGCGCGCTGTATGATAAGGTGTGTCATTGAGTAAACTGGCGTGGTAGGGGTCTTTAGCAGTGGGAGGAAACCGGAGGACCCGGAGAAAACCCACGAGGTTTGACAGGCGACCCTACTCCTTGTCACGTACAACCGGGGATTCGAAACCACGCCAGTCGACTCAATGACAGACTTTATGATACAGCGCGCGCACGCTAACCATTCAGCCCCCCCCCACCCCCCCCCCCCCCCTGCTTTAAGGAAACAACATCAAAATATCAACGGCAGATAAACACCCTGCTAGAATTTAATCGGATTAAAGGCTCAATATCACTCTTGTTGTAACTGAATAATATGTCCCAATCTTTATTCTGGTCAACAAATTGTACTTTTTTATAATATTCCAATTAATTAATGATACAAATTTCATCTTATCACACCTAATTTAAAAAATTCGGTTTTCATGGCCAAGTAGCATGTGAACCCTACCAAATTCGTAATTATTAATCTACATACACAGTTTTTTTAGACTACCGAAATTTAGCTGTATATCTTCACTAGAAAGGTAAAAATAAGATATCTGAAACTCAAGTAAATTATTGATACATATTTTGTTTCGAAAACTTATAGGTCACTCATGACCTATCTCAGTCAATTTTCAATCTACAGACCACAAATTTTACATAATTTCTAGCTTTTACATGTACAATAACATATATTTTTTCCAGATTTTTTCGAGGGGGTCGATTTCCCAAATTTCTAAAAAATTGACCCACTTGTCATAATGACCCATTTAGTACATGGGTTCTAATTTTCAACATGTCCCTCCTACTCTAGAAAACTAGCAACTACACAGCAACAATATTTTCACATATTTACAAAGTGCACATATATTATCATATTCGGTAAGCTTATAATGGAGAAATATCAAACAAACAAGAGGTAGATTTCGGAGGATATGATTTTTGGAAATTTTGTTAATTTGAGAGAGAGAGAGAGAGAGAGAGAGAGAGAGAGAGGGGGGGGGGTGGGTAACGTTCACTCGACACAACCTAGGTCATTTCGGGACTAACACACTGTTTAATATTATTTCAATAATTCGCTTGCGCGTAGGGGTCTCTAGCAGTGGGAGGAAACCGGAGGAATCGGAGAAAACTCACGAGGTTGGAAAGGCGATTGTTAATTTGGTGATCCCAATCCAAATTTTAGTCAACATTAATTCAAATAACACTGCTTCGGATACATTTTCGAACGATTCTTCATTAATTTTTAATGATAAGATGTTTGTGGGGTTTTTTTGTGTTTTGAAGCTATTGGCGTGGCTTTTGTCTTTTTAGCATCGATTACCATACCATTAACATTACACCAATTAAATACATTTGGTAAATCCTCTTGAATGGTAGCAATCTCTATATTAGCTAAATTGTCATCAGCAAAACGATCAGTATGGCATATACTAACATGAAGTGGGAGATCGTTTATAAAAATCAAGAAAAATGAAGGACCAATACTGGATCCCTGTGGAACCCCACATTTCACATCAGTAACAGTTGAGTGACACGCCCCTAAGACTACTTGTTGCTTTTGAAATTCCAGACAGGATGAAATTAGTTTATGCTATTTCAAGTCAAATTTGTATAATTTTAATTTTGGGAGGATTAAACTATGGTCTATAAGATCAAACGCCTTACTAAGATCGAGATAAACAACTCCGGTCATATTACTTGAGTCTATTTCTTTCAGCCAGATATCTGTAATAAGGCTGTTGAACGTGAATGATTTTTTTCTAAAAATTCATAAAAAAAAATAGTTTGTATTTTCCAAAATATTCTGTAATTTGAGAACTAATTTGTCTTTCAAATATTTTTGATATTGTGGGTAAGACAGAAATGGGTCTATAATTACTTGGTAGATGCTTGTCTTCCTTCTTGTGGATCGGGATAAGTTTAGCAAATTTAAATTTTTGAGATGCATAAATTTATTACATAAGTTAACGATTTAAAAATATAGTCTGTAGACATCCTTAGAAGTTTTGGACCTATAGAGTAAATGCCAGTAGCTTTACTTGGATCGAGCATATTTAGATATTTGTGTACATCTACACATGAGATATAATTCTTTGTTAGGACTAATTTTATTTTGAACAAATTTATCAATCTTTTCACAATTTTCATTGGAAAGGGGATTATATACAGGCTTAATATCATCGGTAACATTGGTAAAATAATTATTTATATCAGCAATATCAGATAAATCATCATATTCCTTAGTATCTGGTTTTAATAGACATGGATAGGTACACTTCGTTTTATTTCCCATAGCCTTGTTAAAAATTTCCAAATATGTTTTGAGTCTTTGTTTTCTTGAATGGCAGACGCAGTGTTGATTTATTTAGACTTCGAACTTGTTATTAAAGCTTTGGTTTTGTTTCGCCATTGTTCGCCATTTTGTCTCTTGTAATATTCTCTTGTTTTTCGAGCGTTATTAATTTCTGAATTAAACTATTCTGGTATCGATTTATGAAAAAAAAAAAACGGCCACGTTTGTGAAATCAAATGAATAATTGATATGAGGTAGAATGAATACGATTTAGTCATATTGATAAACACACTTAAAATTATAATTGTATGCGCTACCTAGCATTATATATTATAATATGCTGATAATAGATGACATAGCAGAATATATTCAATTTGTTATAGAAATATGATCTTTTATGCCATGGATTGCACCGGTTCTGTGTACTCTTACGAAATGACATGAACTGGGGTTTAACGTCCTACTGTTCTGTACCGACTCAGCTAATGAAGACGGGCATACCCCATTCAGTGTGCTATGATGGACATTATTCCCTGAAAGAGGCACTACGGCGCACTCTTATATCGAAATCCAACTGTTCTTTTATGTGTACGCTAATGTGTACATGGGATCCCGTTTTTTCGTCCCATCCAAACGACTATACGCTGCCCCTTGCCGGACCACTGACAATGGGGGACCAAGCCGGAAAATCTCGACGAACTTTCTCGAGAGGGACAGGGAGAAATGGGGTTTAACGTCCACTCGACACAAACTAGGTCATTTCGGGACTAACATATAGTTTAATTTTATTTCAATAATTCGCTGGCGCGTAGGGGTGGAAACCGGAGGACTCGGAGAAAATCCACGAGGTTGGACAGGCTACCCTATTCCTTGTCACGTTCAACCGAGGCGAACTTTCTCGGTCAACACGGGGATCGAAGACTAGACACCCGGGTTAGAGTTCTAACGTCTTACTAACTGAACCACCGCGGTTCCCTGTACTCTGTGATTAATATATAAATATTAATATTTATTCGAGATATATTCAAACTGCAATCTGATATCCCATTTTAATTGCTACTTTCATTAGTCATCTGAATAATATGTTAAATTTATCATTCACTTTTAATATATTCCATGCATATTAAAGCAGATAAAGCTGGCTCCTGTTTTAATACTAAACTACAGAAATAATTACATAAAAAAAAAGGTAACGCCCTAATTAGTCACCATACCTGTTTTCAATTTGTAGAGAGAGAGCGAGAGAGAGAGAGAGAGAGAGGGGGGAGAGAGAGAGAGAGATCCCGTCTGGATCAATGTAAAGAATTGTCAAGTCGCCATAAGAGAAGTCATTGCTTCCTGTTTTGCTTATATACATAGCACACTGCATGGCCTGGAGAGAGAGAGAGAGAGAGAGGGAGAGAGAGAGGGGGTTTAACGTCCACTCGACAAAGACTAGGTCATTTCGCTACTAACATATGGTTTAATTTTATTTCAATAATTCGCTTGTGCGTAGGGGTTTTAAGTAGTAGGAGGAAACCAGAGGACCAGGAGAAAACTCACGAGGTTGGACAGGTAACCCTACTCCTTGTCACGTAAAACCGGGAATTCGAAACCACGCCAGTTGACTTAATGACAGGCCTTATGATACAGCGCGCAAGTGCTAACCATTCGGCTATCCAAACCCCTCAATTTGTAGAACACAGGGACAGCTGTCTAGTCTTTCGGATGGGACGAAAAACCGAGGTCCCGTGTACACATTGGCGTGCACGTAAAGGATCCCTTGGCAGTTGGAATTCGTTATAAGAGTAGGCCGTAGCGCCGCTGCCCGGGCAAAATTTCCCTCATAGCACACTGTATGGCGTATGCCCGTCTTCATTAGCCCAGGTTAGGAGCAGAACAGTAGGACGTTAAACCCCATTTCATTTCATTTCATTTCAATTTGTAGAACAAACATGGCAAGGATTGTATAGCAACATGATGGTGGATAAAGTCGTTACGTCATCTGTCTGTCAGCTGTTTTCAACTCTTGATATCTAGACCTTTAAATGTTATATAAACTATTATTTAGATATTTATTCACATGACAAGCCTATAATCAACTCGCTAGACCATCGGATAACAGAAATGTAAATGGATTAAAACACATGAGACTTGAAGAGCTTGAAGAGAATCGTTGGTACGATAATAAACAATCTACAATACACATTCAAATAGTCAGAACAAAGTAGTTTAAATAAAATTTTCAATATATTCATTTTTCATTATCTATTTTTGAACTATTATAGCAAGAACTGTCAGCTCTTTAACTAAATCGTACAAAATGCATCTGTAAAGATCATTCCTGTTTCATTCTAAATGTTTTGCTCCTGAGTATATAATTAATAAAATTGGTTAGGACCTCTATGGAGATGGCCTGCGCATGTACTAGTAGTCTGGCTCGCACCAACTGCCAGTGGGACGCTAAGGCCACAACCTGCCTAGTTCTATGTGTGTCGGTGTGTGTGTGTGCCTTTTGTTTGTTTTTTGTCCTGCAGCAGCCTTCAGTAGAAGATGGGGTCAGGTGAGGGCAAAATAGATGGACGTAAACCCAATTTCATTTCATTCTTTCTATCTGGAATTCTGGATTACCTTCTCATAACCCAACCCCTACCCTGAACCCCTGTCGTGTAAGCATTGCCAATCTCCAAAACCGGCCTGAACATAGATTGTCTTAAGGCGAAGCTGTATTTGTGGATGGCCTTACGTCATATCCTAGTCCAAAGTCCTTTTAGTTTCCAATTAAAATCATACTATATGACCCGCTAGTGTTAAATGGGCATTATGGGCGATTAGAAACAGAATTGCTCCACTCTGAACCGAGATATTAGCGATTGAATTTTAGGCCTAGCCTTGATCATCATTACAAAATGACGACCACTGGCTTTTTTTCAGATTTGGCATAACTTTTGAATATTCACAATATTGCTGTGTAGCCATTTAACGCCTCTCTAAATGCATCTTGGAATTGGTCCAAAATTCTACTTCATACATTACAGCGCAAAAAAGTGTTAAAGATAATTCCCCACAAAAGTATTTACAATGTATAGGGTAGTCCTTGTTTGATTGGCATTTTGTAATTGAACATATTAACACAAGGTACAATTTTTTGGAAACACAATTACTGAGTTTAATACTAAGCGACGTTTCGACAAGGATACTCTCGTCTTTATCAAGCAAATGATACAGGTATGTGAATAGTAGGCAAATATATACAGAACATGCAACAAAAATAACATTCAAATACATTTACAACTAAACACCTTTGATTAGGGGGCCATTTACAACCTAACCTACACAGTGGAAACTCTTACACTATAAACCTCAGAATGCCTCGTTCGGCATTTCTGTTCAAACGAGACAAAACGTGTCAACATTTTTGCCCGATTTTGCCCCGGTTTTTTAAATTGCCCTGTTTTTGGAACGAGGTATTTAGTTCAGAACGAGGCTGGGTAAAATTGCCTCGTTTACTAAACGAGGTATTTTATCCAAGATAATTATTAGCGGTATTTGCTGTCAACAAATAGAGCCATACAAATAATGTTCGGACCATCATGTGACCAATTGCAGATCTACAAATTAGATTATTTATATTTAGTAAAAAAAATAAAATTTCGTTTCTTTCAATTCTTCCGGGCTAAAATTTGTACACGCCAGTTTTCTAAATTTCCACTTCAAACAAGAAACGAAAAGTAAGACATGCTATGGTCTGGAGTAGTTTGTAAACAGTCATGTTAGTCACAGTTAACGTTATTTAGTTGTTCTGAAAGACAATTCAACTAAGCGAGTAGTAAGTGCTGAGTCTTTTGTCTGTAAAGTTTCAAACAACTGCAATTTAAGCCCAGGAAAATGTTGGAAATTGGCAAAGATCCTTCCCCCGCGAGTTCAGAATAAGATAAGATTAAGAATGGCCATGGGTGAGAAACCGGTGTACTGGTGTTTGAAATGTATGTTTAATGTTATCAATCAAGATATGATTACTCCTTGAAGTCTCTGTGCATCATTTGCAATTGGAAACTCAACTTGATTGAATGCTAAATTTCAAGACAAGTGACGGAAAATGTATGTAGGTAAGGCCTATGTCGTTCGGATTTAACAGAGAATTTAAAGGAGGCCCCGTCTACACATTAATTTCATTTATATTTTTTTTTGGTGAGGGTGAGGTAGTACAATTTAACTAAATCTACCTTAATCTTCCCAACTCCACCCTTATTTCAACTTTTGAGACAATAATTTATATCGATATTTGATAATTTTACCTTTCTTTATGCTAAATTGTCATGTTTAATTTACAGTCCTTACATTTTGGTGTCATAATGCCCCTCAAAATAAAATTTCCAAGCAAGTTTAGAAGTTGGGCGATGCTATTAGCATGTCCCTTGGAAGTTGTATCAAATATAGATATACATTATATGAGTTGAAATAATGGTGAATTTGGGTATATCGTACTTTCAGGTGAGAATGTCTCTGAACTGAGGAATGACAGTGGCGCAGCCAGTAGGGTGCTGGCTTACTAATCAGTGAGGAGGTCCCAGGTTTTTCGCGGGGGGGGGGGGGGGGGGGGTGTGTGTGGGGGTGGATGGCCGAATGGTTAGCACGTGCATGCTGTGCTGTATTATCATACGGTCTGTCATTGAGTCAACTGGCGGGGTTTCGATTCCCTGGTTGTACATGACAAGGAGTAGGGTCGCCTGTCCAACCTCATGGGTTTTCTCCGGGTCCTCCGGTTTCCTCCCACTGCTAAAGACCCCTATGCGCAAGTGAATTATTGAAATAAAAGTGAACCATGTGTTAGTCCCGAAATGACCTAGTTTGTGTCGAGTGGACGTTAAACACTATTTCTCTCTCTCTCTCTCCCAGGTTTTTCGCAGGTTTGGGCTGAGAAAATTATTTGGGATTTTCCAGCATAGGTTCCACATTGTCTATGGTGCAGGACAGAGGACTTGGGAAGCGATAGTGTCGAGTAGTTTGGATTGGTCAGAAAACTGAGGTCCTCTGTACATATTGATGTGCACATAAATGAATCCATGACAGTTGGGTTGCCTGTTTCACTTCATGAATTTTCTTCGGGTCCTCGTGTTTTCTGCGACAGCTAATGCTCCTTATGCTCAATTCAAATAAAGGTCTAGCATACTATATGTTAGTCCCAAAATGACCTAATTTGTGTAGTGTGGACATTAAGCCTCACTGCAAAAGTTAAGTAAAGTCTCCTTGTTTTCTTCAGAAATCAAGATATTGTAACCATGACAACGTTAAAGAATATTTTGTTAATACGACATCTTCCATCAGTTTTATCAAACGAAGAGAAGAAAGACTTGTTGGAACATTTTGGAGCGAAGGATGTTCACATCACGGGAACTAATGGTGCTTTGGTAAGAAAGAAAGAAACACTTTGTTAATGGGATTTAATAAGCCCACATGGAAATGTGGTCGTATATTGTTAGTCAATATGTCAGTCGTCCACAATTTCTTGTACATTTATCATCCAAATGTTTTGAAATTTATATATGTTGTTTACATTAGTGAGGTAAGAAGAAGCCTCTTTCTTTCATTTCATAAATTTATGTTAATTACTTCACTTTTTCACTTTATAGAACGACAACGATGTGTATGAAATTAATTTGCAATATTTAAATTAGTAAAACGAAGAAGCCTATCGAAGAAGCCTAAAGTAAAGGGTTCTAAGAGACTTTCTGTGTTTAAGAGGTATATCATGGCAAAGAATGAATCTGTTCTTAATCTATTTACTGATATCTCCATTAAGTAGCTAAGTCTCTAACTCAATATCACTCAAAATCCTCAACATTGAAAACACAAATTATTTGTCAGTTTAAATCAACATTGATGTTGTAATCTTACCGGGGAAAGACAGGCTTTTGATATCCAATATTTAAGACAAAATAAACATTTCACCATTGATACATTTCAGCGCAATTTGTAACAAGGGACTCGAAAAACGAGGCTAGACATATTCCACAGGTCATGTCAAATGATGACCCCATATTCTTATCTGGAGAGCATGCGCAGCGCAATAAATACTATCGGTGTAGACTGGAATAACCAGGCGATAGAGATTGCTACGGTATTCAATTGAGACCTCTGGCATATTTCGCCAAACATAACTGATTTGAAATTAGAGTAAAAACGGAAACGATTGAAAGTAAATCAGTTTATATACATTCATATTACATTATTATATGCGTTGCGACCCATTTGTGTCAATTTCTAGGTCCCAATATTAGCGATTTAGCTCCTTTAAATTTCATGTTTTGATTTTTTACAGAAAGAAGCAGCATTTGCTACTTTTGATGACCCTGATACTTGTTCAAAGGTAAATAATATAATATTACATGTATTCTGATACTTGTTCAAAGGTAAATAAAATATTTTATTCTAATGATACCCTGTAATGTTCTCTAATTAATGAGACTGATTTAAAGGGCCAATCCCGATAATATTTTAGCGAATAAAACTGCTTAATTTTGTGTTAAAATCCCTTAAAATCATCTACCTTAGGGCCAAGCAACTAACTCAATATATGTGATAGGTTTTCAAACAGCTTAAACTCGGCAGTCTTCATCTGGAAATGCAGACTGGTGTCCCAAGCTGTATTTATGCGGTGTCTGGATAAAACCATGCTTTTATTTTATACAAATAATGTGTAGGTGAAATTTACCTTTCGTTATCAAGTACAGCACATGGGTCATTCACTGTATAGACCTCTAAAGGAACGCGAAATGATTATCGGGTTACCCAACGAAAAAAATGACCCGAAATCTTAAAAGGGTTACGTGTCTGGATAAGCAGTTTTGACGTTCACGTCCAAACGACTTAATATTTTAAGCTGCAATTTTGAGACAAGGTCAATACACCATTCCTCTATATTTTGGCGCTTAAATTGCATAAGTACTCGGACTTTATTTTTCAGACCCTGTTCAAATCGGAATAGTCCCTTTAATTTAGAAATATAATCAGGTCATGCAGATCTTTTAAAGGGATGCAGTTGTATCAGAAATGTTCTGCTCCTGATCGGGCTAATGAAGACGGGCATGTGCCATACAGAGTGCTATGAGGGGAATTTTGCCTGGACAGCAGCACTACGGCCTACTCTTATTACTCTTATATCAAATTCCAACTGCCAAGGGATCATTTACGTGCAGGCCAATGTGTTTATCGTACTGTACGAAGACTATAAGTGGTTCCTTGCCAGGCCCTTTGTTCTGTACCATTGACAAGGGGGAACCTCACCGGAAAATCTGGATGAACTTTCTCGGTCCAATGCAGGTTTGTTTTGCCGAATGGTTAGCATATGCGCGCTGACTCATAAGGTCTGTCATTGAGTCAACTGGCGTGGTTTCGATTTCTCTGATTGTACGTGACAAGCGGTAGGGTCGCCTGTCTAACCTCGTGGATTTTCTCTGGGTCCTCCAGTTTCCCCCCACTGCTAAAGACCCCTATGCGCAAGCAAATTATTGAAATAAAATAGAACCATATGTTAATTCCGAAATGCCCTAGTTTGTGTCGAGTGGATGTTAAACCCCATTTCTGTATATACATGTATATGGCCTTATAACCTATTATATTATTTCAGGCACTGAACAGATTACATCAGTTGGAGATATTGGGGAGTAGACTTGTGGTGGAATACGCTAAAACTACACCTGAAACTAAACTACATCCGCCATCACTTAATATAGAGTAAGATCAATGCAAAAATATATTTACAACCGAAAGAAGTATTATCACTGGGCTATTTGGATACGCTAAATAATCCCTCCATTGTATAGTACAAGATAATACTGTCTAGTCCTTCGGATGGGATGAAAAACCATGGTCCACCAGTGTATGTGTTGGCGTATACGTAAAAGAACCTTTGACATTTGGAATTCAATGTGAACTAGACAGACACAACACTGTCACAGTAAAATACCATTATATCACACTGCATCATTTGTGCTATTCCGGCGTGGTTTCCCCTTGTCAGTGATGCAGGACGGAGGGCCTGACAAGGGCAGCTGTCTAGTCATTCGGATGAGACGAAAAACCGAGATCCCGTGTATATATTGGAATGCACGTGAAAGATCCCCTGGCAGTTGGAATTCGATATAAGAGTAGGCGATAGTGCCGCTGCCCAGGCAAAATTTTCCTCATAGCACACTGTATGGCGTATGCCCGTCTTCATTAGCCCAGTATAGGAGCAGAACAGTAGGACGTTAAACCCCATTTCATTTCATTTCATTTCTTAATTAGCTAGTCCAATTGGTGCACAAAAGCATGTCATAATTTTGATATAATCTCCATTTGGTTTTTATATTAGTTAAGTACATGTATTTTTAGGATGAATATATCTTTAATTGTTCTCTGCCTTTTGAAGAAATCTTGTCTTCATTAGTCCAGTCAGTGACGAAAAGTAGGATGTTAAACCCCATTTCATTATATATTCATTTCATATATATATATAGTTTATTCAGTATTGGAGGTCACAGACCCAAAGGTACAAATATACAATGATCACTTGGATGATGGTAAAAAGATGGTGGTAGATGAACAAATTTGAAGACAATTTTCAAGGATGTACAATTCAGAACTAATTGAAAATACATTCATAGTGCTTTGATTACTTAAACCTGATCACCTATTTTATACTTGGCCTTATTGATATACTTTACATTAGATATAATATCCTTGGCATTAAAACAGTGACATAAACTTGAGAAGTTGTGTAAGTTATTTTGGATGCGCAAGTAATTTCTGGGAATATATTGAGCTCTCAAATCTTTTAATTGCTCACAAACATATAAAATTCTCTCCAAAAAGATAAATGAGGAAATAATTTAGATTAAGGGGAGAAATATCATCCTTACTGTTGGATTGTTAAAGATACATTATGTAAGATTTAGATAAAGAGCTGATCATTCTTACTATATAATAGCTCAGAAATAGATAATGTGAAATGAAAATATTGAAAATTTCATTCAAATTACTTCATTCTGAGCCAAGTTATCACTGTTTGTATAGTTTTGACTAGATGTGTGCATTGTGGTAATCAGCACACTGGTATATTCGAGATTTATCCTGGCTTTTCCATTTATAAATTAAATTTTTAAATGGCAAACCATTCTAATCTAGTTAAAGTCTCGAGTATCTGATGCCATCAAGAGTTGATTTTGGTCTTGTTTTGTTAAACATACATTATGCAAGAGCTAAATCTGCCTATTGCAGGTCTTTCTTTAGGCCTGAAATGATTTCTCCGATATTAAATAGATTAGAACAGTTCAGCCATATTTTGATTTAAGCTAAAAAAAAAAATGGAGGAGCGAGACTTATCTTCGAACAACCAGTACAGTTGTTGAAATTATTGCACACGTCTTGTCAAACCTTCAAAGGGTAATATCTTCACTCGCAATAGAGTAATTTGTATGAAATTTTCAAATTATTCATTTTACATTATCTATTTTCGAACTAATATAGCAAGAATGGCTAACTCTTTATCTAAATCTTACATAATGTATCTTTAATAAATGTCTACTCTAATTAATAGTTTATATAACATTTCAGGCCTAAAGACCTGCAATAGGCAGATTTAGCTCTTACATAATGTATGTTTAAATATGTTGCTGTTCGTCGTTTTTTTAAAGAAAGAAAACCAAGAAGGAGGATAAAAAGGATAAAGTTGAAGAAAAATCAATTCAGTTTACTCCACCACAAGATGAGATTCATACAAAATGGGGGTTTGTATTTTAAAAGGTGTAAATCTATATTATCGAGAATCTTTGACATTGCAAGAGTCGTTTTGAGGCTAACATATGGTACTTTCTGATCTATGGTTACACCTACAATCATTGACAGGGGGTTGGGGTTGGATGTTATGTCATTGAGTCAACTGGTGTGGTTTTGATTCCCTGATTGTACGTGACAAGGAGTAGGGTCGCCTGCCCAACCTTGTGGGTTTTCTCTCGGTCCTACAGTTTCCTCCCATTGTTAAAGACCCCTCCATGCAAGCAAATTGTTGAAATATGATTGTACTGTGTGTTAGTCCCAAAATGACCTAGTTTGTTTTGAGTGGACAATAAACCCCATTTCTCTCTCTATCTCTCAGTCATTGACAGCATTATTTCTGCTTACTAACGTCCTCATGCTGTATCAATATATTATAGAATGTCTCATTCTTGACCTTTAAACGTAGTGAACCGTCAAAATGAAGTATGGTAGTTTATAGAATGAATACATACACCATTTGTTTTCTTCCATAAGAAGTCAATATGTAACTTAATTCTGGGAAAAACCATAAAGTAGTAAAGGAAATATCTTCACATTTTCCACCCTTGTTGATTTTTTAGTGATTTGTATGCAGATAGGTCACAACCTGTAAGTGTTATCCAGTTATAAATGGGGAGTATCTCTCTTTCTATTTTAACCCTTTCACATTCATGATGTCTGAGTATGAATTTATCGAAGAATACGGATTGTATTTGTTGATCTTATTCTCTTATCTAGAACACTCAGTACCACCTAATATTATTTTTTCTTTTTAAGGTTTAATTACCCTAGAAATCCACGTTTTAGATATGTGTACCCATCACCCACTGTTACCATACTAACTAATATAGCTAATGCTTTAGCGGCTTGTCCAAAATTCTACACGCAGGTAAAAACTCAAACATTTCTGATAAAGTCTGCCTAGCTTGATAAACTTGCTGTAGTGTAGGTCTACAATCTGACCTGCCTAGCTTGATAAGTTTTCTATAGGCTTACACTCTAGTCTGCCTAGCTTGATAAAGTTTCTATAAGCCTACTCTTTAGCCTGCCTAGCTTGATAGAGTTGTTTCTATAGGTTTACCCTATAGTCTGATAAAGTTGTTTCTAGAGGGTTTACCCTGTAGTCTGATAAAGTTGTTTCTAGAGGTTTACCGTGTAGTCTGGTAAAGTTGTTTCTAGAGGTTTACCCTGTAGTCTGGTAAAGTTACTATAGGCTGACCCTGTCGTCTGATAAAGTTTCTATAGGCTTACACTCTAGCCTGCCTAGATTGATAAAGTTTCTACAGGTTTACCCTGTAGCCTGACAAAGTTGTGCAAGCTACCTGACTTATTTTGAATAAAAGGGTTATTTTGTTTGAAATGTCCTACTCTCTCGCAGTACTCACATTTCTCACTAAACCCCATACTTGGGTCTTAGGGGAATACCTTGACTTAACCAAACCTCTGCACCCCACTCAGGCTTACACTCTAATTGTATGTGCAGGAGGACCGCACTACACACAAAGCAAAACCGACAAGACATTGCAAGAAATAAACAACAAATATCAAATCAAGTGTAGAAATCTGATGGCCAGATGTTGTTTAATAGATTTGATGGCCAGCCGTTATAATATAATAGTTATGTGTTGTTTAATAGATATGATGACCAGTCGTTATAATAGTTGTTTGTTGTTTAATAGATTTGATGACCAGCTGGTATAATATAATAGTTGTGTATTATTTACAGGTTTTACATCTAATGAATAAGATGAATTTACCAGCACCATTTGCTCAACCTACACCAACACCACCTGTTGTAAGTTACTATCTTATATCCACTAAAATTTATTTTTACATTTGACACCTATAATTTATTTTTACGTGTGTATTATAACATGTTTATATGTGTATTATAATATGTTTATAATAATATGTTTATATGTGTATTATAATATGTTTATAATAATATGTTTATATGTGTATTATAATATGTTTATTAGTGTATTATAATATGTTTATATGTGTATTATAATATGTTTATATGTGTATTATAATATGTTTATAATAATATGTTTATATGTGTATTATAGTATGTTTATATGTGTATTATAATATGTTTATATGTGCATGATAATATGTATTATAATATGTTTATTATATGTGTGTTATAATATGTTTATATGTGCATGATAATATGTTTATTTGTGTATTATAATATGTTTATTTGTGTATTATGATATGTTTATAATAATATGTTTATTTGTATATTTGCAGCCATCAGGTGAAATTAAAGAGAGTAGCAGTGAATCAGAAATAGAGAGTGATACAGAAATTACAGTCAAGTGAGTTACCAACCTTTACAGGAATTAAAACAAATATAATTTCAGATCTACTGACTTGTCTGTGATATTTCCCTAGTTGGAGGCACACTTTAAACACATAACTAATAGTAGGCCTATTGATGAATTTCTGACTTCAGTGTAAGGTAGCCTCTGTTACCCAGGCTATCAATATACTTTGTTTAGCTTTGGGAAGTTAAAATTTCTCAAAGTGAAACAGTGCTATAATAAAACATCTGTTTAAGAATTCTCCGATACAGAGCTTTTGTTATAGTCATAATGGCCAGTCATGACTGATTGGCAGAGAAATCGACTAGCTGTATAACTTACCTATAGGTCAATTTACATGCCATAAACTTAGATTTTAACCACAAAATATGAAATATTTAGTAAATATTTTTGTTTTTATGTATTAAAATACTTCCAAAAAAAAAAAAAAATGTGGATGATGGTAAAAATTGTCACATTCTTTCAGAACTTATCTTGCTTATCTCAGGCAAACAAATTACATTAAAATTTATCAGCAAGCAAAGTGGAAGACCTTATGTAAATACAAACAGAAGTAAACAAAATGTCTAAAATTGACCCAAAAACTCTTACTCCATAGCTGTCAATCTTTCTTGTCATATTTTTGATCATATTAATCTTTTCATCAGAGCTGCTAAGAAAAAGAAAAGACAATTGAAGGAGAGGAAAGACAGACCTAAAAAACGAATGAAGTTAATCGATGATTTCCCAACTCTAGCAACAGCACCTGTTGAACCTAGTAAAGTTTTTGAGATGGATGATCAAGCAACAGCTCAACGTAAAATACAATTAAATTTACCGTCTGTTATAGCTGAAACTGTCGATGATCGTACTAAGGCATCAGTTGGTGAGTAATGTCAAAACTTTAAAAATTCTTGAATTGTTGAATAACAATGTCAAAATACAATTAAATTTTCCGTCTGTTATAGCTGAAACTGTCGATGATCGTACTAAGGCATCAGTTGGTGAGTAATGTCAAAACTTTAAAAATTCTTGAATTGTTGAATAACAATGTCAGTCCTAAAATGGTCAAGTTCTGTTCAATATTTACAAAGATATTATGAATTGAACTTGTTAACAATAGGTGGACGCTATAAAATGTATATGGTCAAAGCAAGGCAGCATCTTTTGATGGGCTGGAAATGTTTCAATTTCATTCATTCTGTACCAAGATCTGATAAATTGATAATCTGCAGACAATATGAATGAGATATGGTCAAAACAAGGTGGCATCACCTATAATCTACACATAATTTTTTGATGGGCCACATAGGTTGCATTATGGTAATAACCACATTTTTCCTTTTAGGCAAATAAGTCAAACTCTATGTCAGTTAATTGAAAACAAAATTTCTGTGGATATCCGTTAGAAAACATGGATAACTTTTTCACTTCTAGATATTTGTGTTAAGTCTTCATGTTCATCCAATAATTTTAATTGATTTTTATATTGACACGTGTCTCCACGGAAACGTGAGTACTTGCCTCGTCTACAAAACGGAGGTAGGATAGCTGAATGGTTAGTGCGTGCACGTGGTATCATAAGGTCTGTCATTGAGTTAACTAGCGTGGTTTCGATTCCCTGGTTGTACATGACAATGAGTAAGGTCGCCTGTCTAACTTTGTTGTACCACTTATTATATTTATATTTTTAGATAAAGAAACAAGAAAAGAACAAATTGTAGAAGGATTTGGAATTATTGAACCTGTTGCTAAGGTAAACTTGTAACCAGTGTATCCACAAATTGGGAGCTTATCTTTTACACACATATTATATCAATACCAGGACATCCTTTTGACCCATTAACATGTATACCAAGGCTCCTAATTAGACTATTTTTACCAGTCCTGGCTGTACATGTCTACCAGGAAACCAATTTAGACCTCATTGACCAGTCCTGGCTATACATGTCTACTATGACACACATTTCGACCACATTTACAAGTCCAAATCATTTAAAGTGTAATCCAAAACACCCATTTACTAAGATTACACTTACCAGTCCTGGCTGAACATGTCTACCAGTCTTATTATACATGTCTACTAGAACACTGATTTAGACCATATTTTTACCATTCCTACCAGGAGACCCATTTAGACCACATTTACCAGGGGGTGATGATGACCATGTGTTTAAATGTACTAATCATAAATAAAGTGAAACTAGTGTCATTATATATTCAGGACAAGACAGTTCCATAGACTCTTACAACCAGTCCCCTCATCCATTCACTTGACTTAATGATTCTCCATGTTTTCCCGTTGTCCTCTGTGATCCTATTGGGTTGTTTTTATGCATGTGGTTGTCATCCTGCACTTCAGGTTTCCTCCCACTGCTAAAGACCCTCTACGCACCAGCAAATTATTGCAAAATATTGAACCATATGTTAGTCCCGAAATTACCTAGATTTACCTCTCTGTCTCTCGCACTTTCTAAAAGCCTGACAATGATATTTGTTTTTCCAGCCTGTTACACGTGAAGATAATGATAATGATGATGATAATTGTAGTGAATTTATATCCAGTGAGGAATTGAAGAGAGGAAGAATATCTAGAGAAGGTTGGTTTTTTACCTTCTAAATGAAAAGGGGGGTTGGATGGCCGAATGGTTAGCGCGTGCGAGCTGTATCATAAGGCCTGTCATTGAGTCGAATCCCCGGTTGTATGTGGGTTTTCTCTGGGTCCTCCAGTTTCCTCCCACTGCTAAAGACCTCTACGCGCAAGTGAATTATTGAAATAAAATTAAACCATATGTTAGTCCCGAAATGGCCTAATTTGTGTCGATTGGACGTTTAAACCTCATTTCTCTCTCTCTCTCTCTCTCTCTCTCTAAATGATAATATGTATTAATGTCTCTGATTGTTATTAGACAGATTTTTTTTAATCCCTTACCAAACTACAATAATACAAAAGTATAAAATCTGAAATAAATATCAGTCCAAAACAGTTCGGGGGTGGGGTTGGGTGACTGAATGGTTTCCTCACACTGTTTAAGACCCCTATGGGCAAGCAACTTATTGAAATATAATTGAACCATGTTAGTCCCAAAATGACCTGGCCCCAAGTTCACAAAGCATTCTCAGACATAAGTTAAGAATTTACTCAACTTTCGGTTACTGTATATGAGAAATATCTTTGATCCGGAAACAAAAAAAATACTTTGCACATAGTTTCTTATTGAAGAATTTGATACAATAAAACAACAAAAGTTTTATAAAGGGCTGTATAATATCTAAAATAAGGTGAACAATTTTGAGTAAATTCTTAACTGAAATCTGAGAATGCTTTGTGAACTTGGGGCCTGGTTTATGGGCAGCGATATTTTTAAGCTCAATCAAGCACCTTAAAATAACAATGTCTAAATGTTTGATTTTTTTTTCATTATTTTAGAAAGAAGAGAAATAAATGTATTTAGAAAATATGAACGTGGAGAACCGAGCTGTCGTCTTTATATCAAAAATCTGGCTAGGCAAACAACAGATAAGGTATTTAAATCATTCATACACCTATCAATGTCTCTGTATGTAGCCATTGTTTTTAAATCCACTGTATATAGTTAATGTTTTTAGTTCATACCCCTCTCAGTGTTTCCATCTTCTATACAAAGCCCTTATTTTTGGATTTATTAGACTAGTAATTATTTCCCATAGCAATCCTTTCTTTTTCTCATTATGTCCCCTTTCTGTCCGGATTAAAGTGTAGTGTTTGAATTTAAATTTTCTAATATGGTTTTGGTTAAATTTTCATTAATTATGTGGCAGAATGATTAGAAGGTAAAATAGATGTGGTTAATCTGTTGTAGAAAAAACTAAGATGATCAGTTCCCTTCAGAATAGTTATACATGTTAGATGATTGTGACATTTTCTGCTAGTAGCGGTTGTTAAGATTAAGAACACCAAAATGTTAGAAAAGGCCAACAAAAGTCATGGCTTTGACATTGAAGTGAAGTGAATGAGAAGGAGAAATTAACCATTTTGTTTTTGATCTGTAGTTACCTCCCTTGTAGTCTACTTAACCAACAAATTGTTTGGTTCGTTCCATTTTGTTTATAATAATTAATAATAATACTTTAAATTATTTAATAGATGTAAATGTATGAATAATATTGTATATATTTGTTTGGATGTGTTTAGGATCTGAAGTACATATATGGTAAATACATAGACTGGACTAATTCAACTCAAGTCAATATGTAAGTTTATATACACACTGTTTAATCTAACAAAACTCAAGTCATGTACACACTGTTTAACACAACTCAAGTCATGTACACACTGTTTAACACAACTCAAGTCATGTACACACTTTTTACTCTAACACAACTAAAGTCATGTACACACTATTTACTCTAAAACAACTCAAGTCCTGTACACACTGTTTCCTCTAACAAAACTCAAGTCATGTACACACTGTTTCCTCTAACACAACTGAAGTCATGTACACACTCTTTAACACAACTCAAGTCATGTGTTACGATTATCTATAGGATGTTTTAAATGTTCTATATTTTGATTATAATTTTGATATTCGTGTTACGATTATCAATAGGATGTTTTAAAAGTTCTATATTTTGCTTATAGATTTGATGTTCATATTATGAAGTAGACAAGTTCTATATTATGATTATAATTTTGATATTTATGTTACGATTATCTATAGGATGTTTTAAATGTTCTATATTTTGCTTATAGATTTGATGTTCGTGTTATGAAGGAGGGAAGAATGAAAGGACAAGCATTTGTAACTTTACCATCAGAATATGTGGCTATATCAGCTGTTGATGAAACACATGCCTTTATTCTCAACGATAAACCAATGCTAGTCGTATCCTTTTATAAAATAGATAATATAGATACAATTATTATGTTTATAACAGTGTAATGTTTCAACAAGATTTCATACATTAGTTTATTTCGTGGAAGCAGCTGTGGCTTAGTGGGTAAGACACTGGCTCGCTAGCCTGGGGGTTGCTTGTTCGATACCTGCATTGGCCAAGAAAGTTCATCGAGATTTTCCGGCTTAGTTTCCCCTTGTCAGTGGTGCAGGATAAAGAGTCTGACAAGAACAGCTGTCTAGTCATTCGCATGGGACAAAAACCTGAGGTTCTGTTTACACATTGGTGTGCACGTAAAAGATCTCTTGTCAGTAGGCTATAGTGTCGCTGCCCGAGCAAAATTTTCCTTATAGCACACTGTATGACATATGCCCATCTTCATTAACCCAGTCGGAGTAGAACAGTAGGTCGTTAAACCCCCATTTCATTTCATTTCATTTTATTTCTTTACTTGAATACGTCTTATGAAGTTTTGTTAATTATTCAACACCATTTGGGAATGTAAACACAAGTAAACAGTTGTAATCCTGACACTCATTATCTGATCTAGACAGACCATTTTAAACTAGGCCTACACGACAGTAGGAACCCAAAATTTTAGTTTGAAACTCATCACAACACTAGGATCTAGAAGAGTTGTTATATAACAGGTGTTCTAGTTGATGTGAGGAATTAGCCGATGAAACAGTCTGTTAAGGTGAGTACTTGGTGTGCTCTGCACGAAACTGTGGGTAAAACCCTCTGATGTCATAGGGTCAAAAGCCACTCATATGGCCCCTGACAAGACCTCCCATTACAACTGCTCAGATTTTCATGTAGTGTAGGCCATCGAAAGTATACAAAAATGAAATGAAGTATATATCTGTATTTTAATCAAATTGTTTGAAACTAAACATTAAATACAGAAACTTTGACTAAAACGGCACAAGTATACCTTTCTGGAGTTGTGGTGTTTTGCAGTGTAATACACATAGTGATTGTATCCATACCAATCATTCAGGTATTATACACAGTGATTTTATCCATACCAATCATTCAGGTATTATACACAGTGATTGTATCCATACCAATCATTCAGGTATTATACACAGTGATTGTATCCAAACCAATCATTCAGGTATTATATTTTAAAGGGGCATTATGGAAGATTAGATAAAAGAGCTGGCAATTCTCACTATAATAGTTAAAAACTAAGTAATATAAAGGGAATTTGCTGAAAATTTCAGTCAAATTGATCCACTCTTTTAGCTTTTGAACTTTAGGCCTAGTCTCGGTGATCATTACTAAAGTCGGTATGATAAAAAACATTGTCTTGCTCATCCATTCTTGGATTTAATCATGAAGAAGCGTTGAGCAGCAGATCGGATCCTAATCCAGTAAATATCTCAGGCTAGTGTTGATGATGGTCTGGATAAGTTAATTAATGTCTAATTAATAATTTAGACAACATTTCAGGCCTAAAGAAAGACTTGCATTAGGCAGATTTAGCTCTTGCATAATGTATGTTTAAGTCAGTTGCTAATTAGATCTCTAGGATAATATCAAGACTATCTAGATCTTCCAGTTCTAACACTATCACTGAGATCCACTCTTACCGGGAAATATCATATTTATAATAGTTCATTTTTTAAAATTTTTACTATTTTATATATGTTTGGTTATATTTATTTCAGTAGTTTAAATATATTTTCTTATCATTGGGTTTGTGTATAGGCTTTTGACTTTGTGATCCTTAACATTAAAATAGCAATTTGCTAGGTCTGCTAAAGCTGTAGCTGATCCAAAAACAGAAGATAAATAATCTGAGAATTTTCTAATGGATTCGTTGATGGTGTATGTCTGGATAAACAAGTTGATCAGTGATATTGTGAGCTGAACAATTCAGTTATGGTATATGTCTGGATGAACAAGTTGATCAGTGACATGATGGCTTGACGGTTCAGTTATGGTATATGTCTGGATGAACAAGTTGATCAGTGACATCTTGAGCTTGACAGTTCACTTATGAATGTATCGCTTACTGGTTTGATAACACGGAGATGAAAATGGAAAGAATTGTTTTAATTAAATCTAATAAACTAAAAGACAAATCTGTAATGGACAAAGTAAAAGACACCAGATCGAATGTGGCTGACAAATACTGAATTTGTTCTTGACATTGTGACTAGTGTTATCACAATTACAAAATTCTTGAATCGGTTAATCGGCTGGCCAAATCGGTGCTGATTAATTGGATGCCGTATAAATTCTATAATAATGTAAAATAAACGTTTCTTTCATTGGCTAATAATGTCATTGTCATACTGCATTACACGATTTTTCTCTTGCGATTGCTTGTTATAAAATGATGCGTGAACACTGAATAGCTGATTGTATATTATTTTAGTACATTTCTTTGAGTTTGTGCTAAAGAGATGGTTAAATTGGCAATAAACAACATTTTACTACATGTAAGTCACTTGTTTTGATATCTAGTTACGTGGTTGAGCTGAGTAAGACATTCCGTGTTCTGACGAGGGGCTGGCAAGGAAAGCTGTCTAGTCGTTCGGATGGGACGAAAAACCGAGGTCCCGTGTACACATTGGCGTGCACGTAAAAGATCCCTTGGCAGTTGGAATTCGATATAAGAGTAGGCCGTAGTGCCGCTGTCCGGGCAAAATTTCCCTCATAGCACACTGTATGGCGTATGCCCGTCTTCATTAGCCCAGGTTAGGAGCAGAACAGTAAGACGTTAAACTCCATTTCATTTCATTTCCGTGTTGTGACTTACCCCTACAGCTTTAACAGCTAATTAAAAATCCAATACTGGTAATAGATTACAATTACTATTTAAACATAGCGATAATCATATTGACGAAAAACAACAAGAGAAGCTGCATTTTACACATTTCGTAGTAAGCCATGCAGGGTTGGATGGCTGATTGGTTAGCACCTGCACGCTGTATCTGTATCCTAAGGTCTGTCACCGAGTCAACTGGGATGGTTTCGATTCCCCGGTTGTACGTGACAAGGAGTAAGGTCACCTGTCCATCCTCGTGGGTTTTCTCCATGTCCTCCTGTTTTCTCCCATTGTTAAAGACCCCTATGCGCAAGCGAATTATTTATCTCCCTCTCTCCCCTTCTCTCTCTCTCTCTCTCTATCTCTCTCTATCTCTCTCTCTCTCTAGGGGAAGACCACTGTAAATGGGAATTTCTGTATTAAGTCTTAAAAGACTAGTTTCAATATTGCCAGCAATTCAGCAGTGTGTTTAGCAGACAGTTAAAGTCAAACATTATATGTAATTGTATAAATGTAAATTGGATGAAACGACTACCGATTTTTCAAAATGTGAATCGGTTTAAGCTAGAAACTGAGATTAAACCGATTAATTGTGATAACCCTATCTATGACAAGTGACTTTTTTTTTTCAAGACTTGCGGTGGCTGTGAAACCTGATATATACATGACTCACCAATATCTGTGAACTCCAACAATAATGTTTCCGATGATCATGTGAAGGACACGGTGTTGGTTGAACCCCACCACAAACATATCTATTATAATGAATGAAGTATAATTGACTATGTATCAGTCTATAAATAGTTCTATGGGACTATCTTTTGTAGCACAGTACAAAATGCCTTGGTGTCTATATAGTCGCGTAAAAATAATAAAAGACCTAGAACAAATTGCAACAGAATTTTTCTCGAGGGAATCTGGTAGAGGGGTACGTATAATTGTGTTATAATAGGCCTACATAATAAATTAAATTGTTGTAAGTTTGTTGGGGCGAGGGGTATCACACATTTTTGGCAGATAAAATATTCCAGTTGGCGGAGAAAAAATATGAACAATTATTTTGTTAAATAAAAATTATTATCCATTTTGGCGGAAAAAAAAGAAAGCCAGCGTGAGCCCTGATTGCACGTATTCAATCACGACCTGGCAAATTGAGACTACAACCACATCCGCGGCGAAACTCGAAAAGTCTCCAGTACGACAGCGAGCCAAAATGATAGGTCGATAATAGGGCGTGTGTTTATTTCCTAATTCCTACTTTTCGTGTTGCATTATGGCTTGGTATGCGTGTTGGCGCCTTCTTACTGACACCAATAAATACAAAAATACGACCAAGTCGAAAGTCGTGATTTCGCCAGCATTGCTTTTTGCTTATCAATTGTTCGTTACTTCAACACGCAAAATACAACCCCCAGTACCACCTCTTGCAAACTGCCTGTGTGTGAACATGCGTGGTCGTGATTTCGACAGCATTGCTTTTTACTTTAACACGCAAAACAATAATCGTGCGTGTGTGTTAGGCTTTAAGTTCTCAATTCGAAAATACAAAGATCGTTCTCAAAATTTAGTTAATTATATCGACATATTTATATTATTATTATATGAAGACGGGCATACGCCATACAGTGTGCTATGAGGGAAATGGCCTACTCTTATATCGAATTCTAACTGCAAAGGGATCTTTCACGAGTAGACAGCTGTCCTTGTCAGGCCCTCCGTCCTGCACCACTAACACGGGGGAACTACGTCAGAAAATCCGATGACCTTTTTCGGCCAATGCAGGGATGGAACACCCGACCTCCGGCTCCAGCTAGACTAGCGAGCCAGCGTCTCACCCTCTTAGCGAGCATGGCCACGGGCTATTGTCGGTGCAGTCCTCCATGTAGTTTCATAAACAACAGAGGATATGGTGTAACTTTATAAACAAAACATAAAAAAAGAAGAAAATGGCAGTACTACGCAGTTTCTATATTTTGTTACACGATGGGTCATTTTAGTATATATAAATTTATTATCTATTTTCGAAGCATTGCATGATCTAATAACAAAAAGTGTTTACGACCTTGAGTTATAAATGACGGTGTTGTTAAAGATGGGTTCCCAGAAAAGTATTTATCGGGTGGTTATTCCCAATAAAAGAATGGCAATTTTAATTGGTATATATGGAAAGTAGAGATATCCAATCTTACTAGAAAAATACTGGATTCCCCGAAAAAATTCATGGAGCGTATACAGGACAAAAATGTAAGGGTTCCCCTAATCAACAGCCCGACGATTAGGGACTTCTGTACGCGTAATGTCAAAGGTCACAAGCTAACATTGAGCGCTTGATGTACAAGTTGATAAACTTTATAAAGAGTTAGACGTACAATACTTTCTGAGATAAAAATGACGGAAAGGGAAGCGGATTGTGGATAATCCGAGAATTTAATTAGGATTCGATATTTGTAATAAATAGTAAGCGATTAAAGACAACATCGTCTTATGTATGCAATGAATTCTCCTCGGACTCCCAAGACGTGACGTAAAATGACCTGGTTTGATCGAATTTTAATAGCAGGGCATTCCTTCGCAATTACAATGTTTGAGAAGGATTTGAAGCATAATTATGACAAATTAATTAGTTTGAATATGTTTTTGGTCCATATATACCATTAAATCACTCAGTTTGTACACGGGAACCCATCTTTAAATCAACTGAATGGATTAATAACTTTATTTTCTAGGCATATTATTCACTTCTGTTGCATATTCAGGAATTAATTAATCAACTGAAAAGATTATTACAAAAATAGCCGATGTTGTTGGTAAAGGTGTAATCATCTGAATAGATTAAAACATATTGTCTAAGCAAAATGGAATCCGGTCTCCTAATTGTAACAGCTGTGGAAATGAAATGAAATGAGGTTGAACGCCATATACTGCTCTGCTTTGATTGGGCTAATACAGACGGGCATATACCATATACAGTGTACTACGAGGGAAATTGTGCCCGAACAGTAGCATTAATATTAATTATACAAATACATAATTTTAATAAACGTAGTAAATGATATGGACTAAGACTAGTAATTATTTCCCCTTATTTCACGAATGTAGTGCGAGTTATAAATAGACATTTTTTCCCTTAATTTTTTTCTCCCCTCTTCCTGCATTTTGTGGTTGACTTTTTGGCCTAGAATTGGAGAAAAGGGATCAAATTTGCAATTTCATAGCAGTTTTGGGTAATACTGATGATATTACAACGGAGGGATAGGGGGTGTAAAGTGTCTTTCTGCAGAACAATCATTGTGTCGGAAGTGAGATTTTCACCCCAGTCAACTTCAAATCCGCGTAGCAAAAAATCTAAATGGTCAAAACCCTCTACAAAATTATGATGAGGAGATTGCCAAATGTTGTCCCCATTGTTCCTATAAAGATTGGAAACAACGGAATGTTGAGCAAAAAGCCACAGCCTGTGATGTTAGTCATTTAACATTGAAGTCAATGGGCAAATAGTTACTAGTCTGAGTCCATATACTAAATACTATAAATGAATGTGACATTGAACGTAATAGTGTAGATGATATAGCAGATAGACTAAGAGCCATTTTATGCTATTTTAAGAGAGTTAAAAGAAGACATTAATATTGGCGATATTATTGATTTATGTATTTAATAAGAATGATGTAGAAATAACTGTAAATACGTAATAAATTTAATTTAAAACTGATAAGCATATTTAATGGAATAAAAGCATCGCTACCGCTGCACAATATACGTCCACATTCCTGCTGTGATCGATATGACACTTTTTAAAATGAAGAGAATGAAATATGAAATGGTTGCAATGGCTGTAATATGACAAGAGGCAAAGAAGGCTAGGTTGTTGGGTTTGTTTTGCCAAATTTACAGACGAAATGTTTTGCCAAATTTACAGACCAAATATTAACAAAAAAGTGGGTGTGACGCGGCCCAAGTGGGTCAGATCATGCACCAAAATAAATATTTGCCGTGTTTACGGTATAATGAATAAATATGTCAATTTTCTAGATGATCCATTCAGAATTGCAGCCTGTAGACGATAAACACAAAAAAATGGACGTAGCTCTGCCCCTGGGGGTTGGTTATGGAACAGTATAAATAGGTATTACCCTGTTATTGAAATGATTGATATGTTGAAATTGAACAAAGTCTATTAATAATTGCAACCTGTAGAGTAATTTCAGACAAAACATTAACAAAAACGTGGGTGTGGTAGCACAAACCCTGTGGGTCTGGACAAGTACCAAAATAAATAGTTGCTATCCTTACAGTATAAGAATAAATATGCCAAGATACAAGATGATCTATTCAGAATTCCAGCCTGTAGACAAAAATCACAAAAATTCGGCGTGACTCTGTCCTTGGGGGTTAGATATGGACCAATATAAATAGAAGCAACCCTATAATGGATCATGCCGAACTAATTGCATACGCCTCGGAAGTGTTTCGTTTGATTAGAGCTAATCCCACTCCACTACTCACTGCTGTAAAGAAAGCAAATTCTTGTTCTAAATTATGACTGGTCAATAGTCCGATTAACAACCAATAGCTAACTGCGTAACAATACCAAACAGAGCTCCAAATTGGACCAAATATGTTTAGTTAAAGGAGCTAAATCGCTAACATTTGGGACCTAGAAATTGACA